GACCATTTTCTCGAAAATAGGAGGAATTTTTACGGAGGAAACTGTCCTGTTTTCTCAGTCGCGTCACCTCCGCCTCCGTAGCCTTTTGGTCCTCTCTCAAATGTTCCAATTCCTGGTGCATTTCTTGGTACTCCTCCATCATTTGTCGAATCTCATCTGAAGCACCCTGACTGTTCGAAGCCAGAACGAAGTTTCGGATCTAGAACAGAGTTCCCTATTAATGGAAATTCTGGCGTATTCAAAATGGAAGAAGCCTAATTTAGTCATAGGGGCATTTTAATAATTGCATTAAATGTATGAAAATATATCAACTTGAAAAATGATAGTTTCTTATTTCCAATAAGCATAGCCCCAACATCATGCAATAGAAGAGTTTTTGTCTTATTATAACTATAAATAAGACATCGTTTCCACTTTATTTGTTAATGATTTGATTGAATTGGTAGTTTAATTTATTATAGGCAGGTGAAATAGCAAAAAGTATTGTAAAAGAGTACCGCAACGAAATGAATGACATTATTTGTTGTATGGGGGGGGGGGTTGCGTTATAGACTTACCTCCACGTGGTGCACCCTGAGCAACGTATACTCATACGTCAAAAAGTACACTAACCGAAAGTTGACTTCTGACTTCAAACTACCATCACCCCGCTGTATTTCATGTTCGACCTCATCCACAGTACTCATCTTACCTTTTCGCTGCCTTTGTGTCTGTCTGCCTGCCTCTTTACATCTGTGAATCATTATTCTATCCCCCCCCCTCTCGGCATTTTGCCACTTTGAAATTCCTCCTCCTCTCTGTGAAGTCCAAAGTCAGCTAATGGGCTAATGTTAACTAACAAAATGCCTGCCATTTGAAATAAATATAAAAATTTTTTGTTTGGGATAAGAACAATCTCCTGTAAGCTGTTTTGGAGAAGAGATTAATTGAACTAATCTTTTATACCCTTTTCGCTATAATAGTTCCATAAATTGATCAAAAAGCAAATGAGAAAGCCAACTGCCTTTCTTGGAATTTGGAGTAAAAGTTAATTAATTTTAAATAAAGAAGATTCGGTAATTAACTGAAAGTACCAAAATAGCCCCCATCAAATCATAAGAACACATAAATGCACGAAAGTTAGTAATCAAATTAAGCTAGCGTCTTTGTGTGTTGATAGCGAAGTGATCAACCATGCTGCCTTTGTAGTTAGTTGCTTCAAGTGTTATGCGCGACTAATTGCTTTACTTAACTTTGGTCAAAAGTGGAAGTTCGGGCATGGGGATTTAGACTAGTCATCCTCTACCACACCCTCGAAAGGGGCATGGAATTAAGGCGCCATCTCAATTGTTTTCTTGAGCATAGAAATCGTTTATTCACCGAATAGAATGGTATTGATTTGATATATTAAAATGGAATCATTAGTAATGATCATTACTATTAACTTCACTTTTTAAAGAACATTGGTTAAGGGCAATGCACTTCATGGTTTGGGTCTGGCGACAATATCGATTATCATTAAGTTATTCCATTGATCAATAAAAATAATCATAATGGTGGTCGATTTTAAATTAAAGACACTTGAAACACGCTCATGGTCATTTTCATATCATATTCAAAAGTTAAATTTGAAGTTAGGTAAAAAACGGTGACGTCTTAATTCAAGACAATCAAGTTCAAGTCATCAAAAAAATAATTGAAAACATTTAAACTCAACGTACTTTTAGAGCTTCGATATTGGATTTACTAACAGCGACTTCCTGTCTGTAAATGGCCAATTGTCCTTGTTGTTCAGCAATTATCATTTGGGCCTCTTCCAAGTTATTTTGGATCTCGTCACAGCATTCCTGAAGTTCCTTGACTTCACGTTTGAGTTCTTTCGTTTCAGTCTCCTTTTCTTCTATTAGTTCGTAGAGTAATTCCACATCCTTTAAAATATCGAAAAAGAAGAAATACGTTCAAACCGTTTGAAATAAATAGCAGGAATTGAGCTGGCGAGATAACCGGGTAATAGACATTGAATACCACGGAGAGTTTAATGTAGTTCTAAGGTCGTGATGTCTGCCGTTGTATGAGTAGATTCCGAAATCAAGTGAAGTGATAGACAATGGAAAAGGTTGGAAATTTTTCTGCAACGCTATTCGCCGTAACATAAAGTCCACTTTTCTAACCCATGGACTTATTAGTAATCGGCATTACTATCTAAAGCACTGGCTATAAACATTAAGGCAAAATCCATTGAAATTATCCACAAGTTCCATTTAACCCAATTAAATTCACGAATTGTAAATAAAATTAAAGGTAAAAAATAAAACCATCACTTTCTAACAGGAAGGAAGTATTTGTGAAGTGACGGTGTTACTTACATTTTACTCTCCGACATAGCCGACTGGCCAAGAATCGAAGCCGATGCTGAGTTTAGACTACGTACCAGAACACCTTCACAGATTGGGAGTATACACTCAACCCACATGTCCCCCTATGTGACCTACAAGAGGAAATGCAGAAGACCCACCTGATTCAGTGTCCAGCCCTAAAGACAACAACGGAAAGCCAGAGATCCTCGGAAGCAAGAAGACAGCTAATGAATTCCTATTAATTAACTGCTATAAATGTACGCCCCCACCCATGGGGAAAGCTGAAGTCAACTAAGGAACTAATGATAAATATCATAAAGCCTGCCATTTGAAAAAACCTCATAATAATAGTGATGATCTCAAGGGTGGGAGTATACACTCAACCCACATGTCCCCCTATGTGACCTACAAGAGGAAATGCAGAAGACCCACCTGATTCAGTGTCCAGCCCTAAAGACAAC